CTGGCTTGCCGCATTCCGTCATCGGACTGGACTCTCGCCGTCGGAGGCTTCGAATGCTGTTCCTCCCTCCAGCGTATCCGAAGGCCTTCTAGGCTCCATAGCAGCTGAGGCCGGCCTTGAGTTTTCGGGGGCGAATCTTTCTTCAGGTAGTACACCTGATCCGACACAGGTGAATGCTAGCGGCGGTAAGACGGGCGACATCAGCAAGGTGTACTCGACCTCCTCGTTCTTCGTCAATGACGACAATTGCTATAGGAAGCTCATGAAGGAGCTCACTCGTTTCGTAACCATCACGACGTCGCCACGCAATCCGAACAGGCGAATTCCCACCGATGCCGAACTCCAACATCAGGCGAGGTGGATTTCCTTCGAAGAGTAATACCTCTTGAAGATTACCTATAATAACTCAGAGCTAACGATAGCTTAGTGACGATCCATGGAATCAGACTCCAGCGGACAACCCAGACTGGCTTCGAGACTTCAAGCGCGAGATGGGCATTCTTGACGATGACCCAGGACTGAGTCCTTCGTGAACAAGATTTTCGCCTCCAATGTGGCTGCAAGAGACTGGGCTATCAATTCGTTGGACTGCCCATGGTTCAAGGTGCATAGCTTCTCAGCCCCCATGCGTTAGACTCCACGCGAAAGGCGTAGCATTTAACCCTGTCATTCTCTATATTCTAGAAAAGGAATCCACCATTGAAGTCCTTAGAGATGATGACTCGAGAGACGTTTGAACAAATAATGTTCTCGCTCATATCCCAGCGATACCGGCCAAATCCACACGCGCCCTGCGCATTTGGATCACAAGTAGGGCGTAGGGAGCAGTTGACATGGATTTTATGGGGCTTATCCGCAGGGACTATCCGTAACCTGTCCCATTGATAGAATTGTCGCCCTAGGGCGTGAGTCTATCTCGCTAAAACCGCTGATTTATCCACCCTCATCGAATGAATTTAGAGATTTCGAAAGGTACTAGTCGTGTGCAGAGTATTAAAGCGAAACTTTTGTCTTTACTGTATCCATGAATATTTTTCAATGGGAAGACGTTTTCCCGATTTTTCAAAGCCAACGTGTTATCCATCTCACGCAAAGTAGTAAAATTCGAAGGTTCCGGTGCTTATCTTCATACGTGTTCATCGCGTTTTCGACAACCGTTTACAAAACTTCGAGGACTAGGCTTTGGACAATGCGTGTTGGTTTTCTGGGCTTGGGGTTCATGGGCACTCCGATGGCCCTGAACCTCGCTCACAAATTTCCACTGACCGTGTGGAACCGGACTGCTTCCAAATACCCAGCGCTCACAAAAGTTGGTGCTAAGATCGGCGATACACCGGCGGCGGTGGCCCATCAATCTGATGTGATCTTCACTATGCTCTTCGACGGCCCAGCGTTAACCTCGATTTTCAATAACGACTTTAAATCGGCACTCCGCGGCAAAACTTTAATAAACACGAGCTCGATTCCGTTGGAAGTCAGCAGACAGGTAGCGGACCATGTTCACAAAGCGGGAGGCAACTTCCTCGAAATGCCGGTCAGCGGCAGCAAAATCCCGGCGGAGCAGGGCAAATTAGTGGGTCTCATGGCCGGCGATCCGGCCGTGGCGAAGAGCATGCGGGCGGTGGTGGAGCCGCTTACCACCGCTGCCGTATATTGCGGGCCAATCGGCTCAGGCCTAAAGACCAAGTACGCGGTCAATCTCTACCTCAACACCATGACGGTCGCTCTTGCAGAGTCGTTCAGTCTCGCTCGGGCGCAGGGCCTCGATCTCGATGCTTTCGGACAGGTACTCGACGCCGGTCCCATGGCTTCCGCATATTCGAAGATCAAGGTCGCCAAAGTTGTCAATGGGGATTGGAATCCACAAGCATCTATGAAGGATTGCTACAATAGCATGCAACTCATCACCGAAGCCACGAAGCGGGCGAACGTACGGTCGCCTCTGGCAGAGTTGTGTCGTTCGATCTACGGCCAGGCGAGCGATGCCGGCCTGGGCGAGGAGGATATGATTGCGGTGTACAAAGTCTTTCAGCCAACCCCACTCTAGGAACAAATGCAAGGAATACCTGAGATCGCTCAGACAAAAGGAGCGTTGCTCGGTCTATGGAGCCCACAAAATTCTGGAGTTTCTTGAACGAGCCTCTACCCTCAAGAAGCCCGAATAACAGGTGGGGACAGTACCAAGAAACCGCCAGTATGACGTCGGACACACATAGCAAGGCAGCGACTGTCCTTGATGGAGAGTACCAAGCCCATCAAGCATCTTCTCATCTACAACCTCAGTCTCCTCGAGTAGTCTGGAACACCGCCAACTATACGGTAGAACATATCAAAATAGCAAAACCGGAGGGTACTGGGCTCCGAACGACCAGGAACAGAATGAGGGACTCGATCTTATTCAACCTGCTCTTTTGATACTTCTGGATAATCGCTTATCTTTCATTCCCTTTGAGGGAGACGATGGGCCTGGATGAGTGCTCGATGTTGGAACGGGAACCGGAATTTAGGCCATTGACTTTGGGGACCAGCACCCGAAGTCCAAAGTTAATCCAACCTGGCTGAGTACTACCGAACGTCAAAATTAGCCTAGACGATTGCACTTTGAATTGGACTTGGCCGGAGAGAAAATAGGTCGAATTCTTACTACTTGCCAGGGACGCAATATCAAGAATCTCTTACAAGAAACTGGAGTCGTTCACATTGTGGAGCAAAAAACGAAGGCACCACCTACGAGTGGCCCAGCGACCCAAAGCTAGAGTAAGCTAGGGACTTATTCCAGCTTGCATTCCATGAAAGTCCTTCTATTTTTGGCGTGTATCTTCTTACACAAGTTCTGAGATTGACACGCAAAGATGTGCACGCATTGATATGATATCAGAGATGCGTAAGGAGTCCCGAAAGAAATCCAACTGCCATTGGTCCGAAGTCTAAGTGTCTAGTGATTCAGGCTTGAACCCCATGAGCTGCCTAAGTTCCTGTACGACAATCGTATATGGAAGATGACCATAAGCCAAATAGACCGCCTGTCGGACTCCACGTTGATTGAGACTGCTTACGGTGTGTAACTTCATATTCGGGGGCTTGGACAGCGGTCCAAATCCCAGAGCTCGAGCTTGGGTCAGAGGGCCATTCTCGTGGCTGACGCTTGGCGGAGTGCCCAGGGAAGATCTACGAACTGGTCTTCCGGCGAGAAAACGAATTTTGCAGCTATCTTAACAAGCAGGTCACTTTACTGGACCTATTTACATTTCGATGAACTCTGGATCAACACGTGCGATGAATGTCAAGAATGAACGATACTCGGTTGCCGTCGGCTCAGCTATCAACGGAGTAATCCGAATGCCACATACCCAAGTGGATGAATCTGAATATTTGGAGATCGGCATAGTCACAAGGCAGCTCAAGGTTTTCGGCCATGATCATAGCGGGGAAGCTGCAGTAAGACCGGTCAAGATGACGTAGATGGAACCGTGGAAGCGGTAATCATCTATGAACCTGACCATTCTCTTCGCAGGTTTGAAGAAATTAAAATTTCACTCTGACATCAAACAATAAGTACTGTAGCGCAATTAACTTACTTTAAGATGGCACAGAACGAACCACAAGCAGTTCAAGTGACCAAGTCATCCGATGGTATTACCACCATAACCATCAACCGAGAGCACCGAAGGAATGCAATCGATGGACCAACTGCTCACAAACTCACCGACGCCTTCTTAGCTTTCGAAAACGACCCAGTCCAGAAGGTTTGTGTCTTCAATGGAGCAAATGGCACTTTCTGTGCTGGCTTCGACCTCCATGAGGTCGCAAAGTATGGGCATGGGTCTGTGAAAGGAGGCTACAATGGGCCCATCATCGAACACAGTCATCGAGTTCAAAGCCGCAATATCGGGCCCATCGGCCCATCACGAATGCAAATTAAGAAGCCAGTCATCAGTGCAGTATCAGGGTATGCTGTTGCCGGAGGTTTGGAACTTTCTCTCCTCGGAGACATCCGTGTTGCTGAAGATGATGCGGTCTTTGGAGTCTTTTGCCGACGGTTCGGCGTCCCTCTCATTGACGGCGGCACTGTTCGCTTACAAGCCATCGTGGGTCTCGGTCGAGCCCTCGATATGATACTCACCGGCCGCGGAGTATCCGCAGAAGAAGCGTTGAAGATGGGCCTGGCTAATCGGGTTGTGCCCAAGGGCCAGGCTCTGGCAGAAGCAACAAGTATTGCTCGACAATTGCTGGCGTTCCCACAGGCCTGCATGAACACTGATAGAACGAGCTGTTACTACTCGACTTACAACGCTAGCTCATTCGAGGATGCTCTGAGCAACGAATTTGACCAGGGAATCAAAGTGATCAACATGGAGAGTGTTCGGGGTGCAACGGAATTTGCCAAGGGAGCGGGAAGGCATGGAAAGTTCGAAAAGGCCAAGATTTGAGGCTTTGGCTAGATTGACGGCAGGTTGGAAACTGGCCGGGTCAAAATGCCGACATCGGAATCTGCAAACTTTAGGGAGCTAAGCCAGCACAGAAACCTGGCTGTTTTGAACTAGTGAAGGGCGCAGAATGTCATATGGGGACCTTGTCAAGAGTGCACGCGTTTCGGTGACTGGGGCGCCAAGTGGCCCACGTATGGAACAGGGTGAGCAATAGCCTTGGAGTTGGGAGTCAACTATGACTACCATCCATGAGAAATATTTAAATTGTTCTTCGCTGATTGGTAAGAAAAGTAGGGTGAGCAAGCGGATTTGAGAATTCGGACTTTCTCAGCTCACCAACGGAATGGATTATGATATTGCTGCGGAGTAGTCGGCGTAATCGGCGTAGAGTCAAGCACGCAAGTAGCGAAGTCTTTGTAGGCTTGCACACATGTAAAAATGAACTAGCTAACCTATCCGAGAATAGAAGTCTTATTCTCACAGTATTCATAATTACTTTGAAAAGGCCATGTGTTTCAGTTTTTGTCCAATTTCATGAACTCCGAAATGTTGCAGAATCCGTGCTTCAACATGACAGCCAACCAAGCTGGCTCCAATCACCGATCCAAGCCGTCAGCTTCAGCTTTCAGGTCCAGTGCTTCTGCCGCACTGTCAGGCGGAATATTCAATGAGAAGGGAACCATGCGAGCAATCGGAAATAAAATGATGTCGATGACAAAACTGATCGGCATGCCAACGAGAAGTGACGTAGAAGTTCATGTCGACCATCATTACACGTCGAAGATATACTCCGCAGGATCCCAGGTTTCCGGCACCGTCAAAGTAAACACGCAACAGGATACAGCTTTCGGGTTCGTCGAGATTAATCTCCTGGGAAAAGCCATTGTTCGACGGGAAGATGTCCACGTCATGACCGAAACGATACAGACACTCTTAAAGCTGTACATGCCTGTACCCGAATCGGCTTACCCTTCAACGAGGTTATTCAGACGTGGAAACACTTACTCAATACCCTTCAGCTTCATCATTCCGCATCAACTCACCAGCAATGTATGCCAATACGAAGTCCAAACAGAAGCAGTCCGGCACCATCATCTCCGCCTGCCGTCTTCATTGACCGGATTTGAGAAGGATGATTTAGCAACAAGTATGGCAAAGATACAATACAGTGTGAGGGCCAGGGTTTTCAATATCGACGATGGTAGTACCGTACAACTACCGGCACCGATTCTTGAGTCTGAGCATCCGATTAGCATCCTCGCGCCATCCCCGGAAGATCCGCCCCTAATCCTCGACAAGCACGACCTTCATTACGTTCTCGAGAGTACCAAGCCTGTCAGAAAGAACATATTCTCTGTACCTACAGGTCAGATCACGGCCAAGACATCCCAACCCCAAGCTATCCGGTTGAGCTCTGATGGACACGCGGCATCCAGTTCGTCAGCCTACATCGACATTGCTTTCTGGCCCACGGCGCCAGATATGCTGCCGCCGCAGGTCAAGATCAAGTCTACGAGTATATTGGCGCAAAACTGGGCTTCTACGCGACCGGCACAAAGCTTTCCCAACGTTGGCGTAACTCGAGAGCCAACAATACTGTCTACCCCTACTATCGTCAACGCCACAAACATAACACCGTGGATTCAACATGTTCACATTCTCGAGGATGGGGAATCAGGAAGAACTAAGGGAGGTAATCGAGGATCGAGAGACATCACGGTGATACGCAACAGCAGCACCCAGGATGACGGTGTACCAATTACATATACGTGTTCGACGCAAGTCGATTTCGGACTGCCAACCTCAAGCCACGTTTTCCCGCCTACATTCCACTCCTGCTTGATTTCGCGGACGTATACTCTTGAGATCAAGGTCACGGCGGGGGGAGCTGAGCTTCCCCTGTTGGTGCCTGTCCAGATATTCAAGGAACAAGAAAGTGGACGCTCTCAGGCGTCCACAGAGTCGGAGTTGCCTAGCTGGGATAATTTTGGAGGCGAAGCTGTCTACGCACGTTTGAGGGAGCATCGCCGAGCGCTGTGAGGGAACATCAATCCACATCACTAAGCGGCCGAATCCAACCAAAGACGACGACTAGTCCGCTACAAAGAGCAAGATTATCTAGCGAGCTTCTTAATTTGAGATTCGGAGTGGTTGGACGAGAGCCACATCCATAGATCATGTAAGAAAACAGGAAGGCGCGGCTTAGAAAATGCTAGATACCAGGGACAATGAGGGTAAAACTACGCTATATTGATATCTTGTGCACGATTAAGTATGTCGAGTTCTGTAATCCATTCCTGTCCAAATACGCCAGTCAATCATGATATTCGTTACCATCAAATCGCTGTCACCATCCTATCTATACAGTGCCTTTCCTGCGCTTCAGCTCGATCTTTGCGTCAACAGGAGGGACAACAGTGACGCCGACCCACTGGTGCTTGGGCCTCTCGGCCAGCGGCTTAACGTCATAGTTGAGGAACAAGTTGGCAACTACCATCTTCAGCTCGTGGGCGACGAAGAAGCGGCCAGGGCTGCAGATCGTTAGTTCTGAGACGATGGCGGCTATATGAGAGAGAGAGAGAGAGAGAGAGAACGGCTTACCAAGCGTGTCGTCCGTGGCCGAATGGCAGATGAGCATCACTCGTTGTGACCATCCCAAGGTTCTTCAACCTAAGCCCCTCGTCCAAGTTGCGGTCAGACTGCGGTTTCGCCTCGTACTCCTCCCTCTTCCTGCTCGTCCGGAAGGCGTCGTACTCCCTCGCGTTGGGGTTCAGTTCGTCGTCGTGGTGGAGGCCTTCGAGGTTAACGGTGAGAAACGTGCCTCTTGGCAGATGCCACCCCTCTTGCTCGTTGGTGATGCCCTCCTTGGCAATAACCTTACGCTCCATCAGGGTACAGCTAAAGTTGCTGAGCCTTTGGCTTTCACGGATTGCGCTGTCAAGGCGATACAGCCGCGATAGTCCATTCTTTGTCCAGCTGCCGCCTTCCTCGCGAAGAACGCGCTCTGCCTCTTCCCGGATACCCTCGATATAGCCCTTCGCTGGGTCGGAGCTCAACAAGTCTAGGACAATGCTGTGGCCGGTAATGACGGTCGTGTGGATCGCGGCGAACTGGATCGGCAACAGTCGCTTCGAAATAACGTAGGGGTCAAGTTCGAAGAATTTCTTCTCAGCCTTTGCCATGCGTATATCCCAGGTGATGAAGTCTTCGGGCGCAACCCAGCTCTCGTAGGCCGGATCCCCCGCCTCCTTCTTTGCCATATCGTCGAGTCGTTTCCTAATTACCGGTAGGCTGTGCTTCGAGGCTTTGCGCCAAAGCCACCAATTGGGTAATGCGATCAAGGGTCCGAGGATGGGCAGGATGGTCTGGGGAACCATGTGCAGCGCAAAACAGTTGAGAATGACCTGGTCGACGAACGAAACCATAGCCTTGCAGAACTCCTTGGTGCGGCATACGCCCTCTCCCACGAGCATGCGATTCGTCACGGGCGGCACGATCGTCAGCCAGGCGTCCCAGAGGTTAAGGGTCTTCCAGTCCTCGGTATTCGTGCCAAAGGCCTCGTCAACAGCGACGGAGACCTCTTCTTCAATCGCGGGAATCAGTGTGCTCAGGTGGCGGGCCAGACTCTTGTGGATTACCAGAGTATGCCACACATCATCGGCGTAAACCTTTCCAAGGAAGTTGTAGTCGCTGTAGAGGACATCGTTATGCGCTTCATGGGCGGAAACGACTGAGTCAGGGTACTCGAGGAGCCATTTCGTGAGGGACTGCGGGAGGATGATGTCGGGCGCTCTACTAGCGGCAGCGGGGACTACGAATGCGCGGTTCTGCTTGTTGTACTGCATTGTCGCATACAAAGTCAGTGTCTCTTCTGGCCTGACCAAGTCGCTCGCGCCGGGAATGATAGCATACCTTCTTATAGCCCTCAATGACCCAGTCTCGGTAGCGAAACATGTAGTAGTAGAAGTTCTTGAAGCGTGCGACGGTGCCCTTCCCATAGCCCACAACGGGAATGTTCTCTGGGTATGTGGGCTTCCATGTGTGATCGAGGATGAGCAAACCAACAAAGACGATAAAGAGGGAGCTGAAGACGCGCCCAGGCGTCAGCGACTCGGTGATTTGGGCGTGAAGACTGCCCGCCATGGTGACGTAGTGTACAGCAGAGCTATCGTTCTCTGAGCATCGTCGTCTCTAGCTTGCAGAGAAAAGGAACTGAGATCAACCCAGAGTGTAGGAGTGAGACGGAGATGTGTAGGTGGAATTTCGGACCTTAACAACAGACCGCTCAGGAGTCGACGATTGGTAATGCTAGTTTGGGCTTTAGGTCATGACGCGCTGGCTGCATTGGCGGCTAGGCTAGAGCCTGTCATTTGGACGGGACTTGAGCTGCCGGCGGATACCTACAGCTCTACTTTAATCAGGTAGCTACATTTCTTTTTTCAGCTGCCTCCAATAGTCTCTGACAACGAACAACATCCCCTCCAAAGTTCCTTATTATGCCCCTCGCTGGGCACCGTTTGCTCCCCACAAGAGCTCTTGATTGGAACTTTGGGACCATGTCTGTCGAATCCTGCCTGCTTAAGCGAGGCACGCTGTGACCTGTTTCAGGTACGTGCCGTCTCATCTTTGCTCTGGGTCGCGAGGTAACCTAACACGATGGCACCGGATTCACTTGCAGATCATGTTAGTGCAGGTTCGTGGAGGGGTGGAATAGCATATGCAGGGTATGGCTTCCTCTTGTCTCGAACCTTGCTTAGAAAGGCTAGGTGTATCGGGATGGTCTCCGCCATCGCACTCGTATTGGCCGTGTTTCTCAAGGGCAAAGGAGCGGACAAGACATAAGGTCATCCTTCACACAAACCGAGAGCTGTTGAATATCGAACGAAAACGAGTTTATTTTACTTAATGCCTGTCTCCCGTGCAGCACAGGGGACTCGTTGGTGAGCTTCTGAAGAATTGAGTTGGAAGCTTCCAGCCGTCCATGGATTCTCCTTGAGAGCAGTGAAGGCCTTCATCATTTCTGCATGTGGCCATCCGTTATCATCTCAATGAAAGCTTGCCCACCCTTCCGGCTGAGCCGGACGCCCAGCAGACTCGGCCGTAAACGCACTCGACAGCGTCAAACGAGCCTGTGTCAAATGTAACCCAAGTCTTGCCAGCATCAAGCGTGATGTCGGAGCCAGATGGTCCAACTGCGACAGCCACCCCACACAGCCCCGGGGCCCATGATGAGCCCGATCGGTATCCGCCCGGAAACACCTCCGACGCGGTCCAGGTCTCTCCGCCATCCTCGGACCATGCTGATGTATGGAGTGAACCATTGACCACGTTGAAGTCGCCTCCAGTTGCAATGCCGTTTTGCGCGTCTCTGAATCGTACCGAGAACACCCCAGCCGAGGCACCACCCGCAATCGCACTGCTCAAGACATCCCACTCATAACCGTTTGCGCTCTGGAAGATCCTGCCGGGATCAATGCCACCCGATGCAAGATACCAACGACCCGCTGCGGTAGAGATGCAAGTCCCGCTGGCTGCGAATCCGAATTCGCCCTCTAAAGCAGAGGGCATGCCGCTGGGGTCCACGATGGTCCAGGTGTTACCCCCATCGAGCGTCTCAATCAATCGAAACTTGCCATCGACTGGGTCGCTCACGGCAATGCCCCTCTCATCGTCTTCAAAGTCGACGCAGTTGAAAAACGCCGATGCCTCCTCATTGGCGAAACTCTGCGTCCAAGACTCTCCTCCATTCTTCGTGATGTAAATGCGCGAGTCCGCTCCTTCGCCAATGGATAGGATGATTGCCTTTTCGGCCGAGAAGGCCTGCACGTCACGGAACTGCAGGTCGGCGTCTTCGGTCGACAATTCGGGACCAACTGATTGCCACGAAGCACCGCCGTCGGTGGTGCGAAGAACCGTTCCTCCTGTACCAGACACCCAGGCTATTTGGTCCGACACAGGTGACAATCCTCGGAACTGTTGTTGACTGTTGACCGGTAGAATGTCCCATTTCAGAGTCAGGTTCATGTTCCGCTCATGGACACCTCGCGTCACTGCAAGAGGGGACGCGCTCGCGACAAGAGTTGAGATGAGTGCAAGAAGGCGCCTCATCATGGCAGTATAGAGTTGGGATTGATCGGTTTGATAGGGGTAAGAAGAGGGGATCGTTCAAGGGAATTGGGTCTGTATCTAAAGTGCGTATAGGTGTCAAGGCGGGGTTCGGGTTGGTTTGTGGTATACCGGCCTCCTCATTTCGTTGATTGCCATCTCAACATCCTACTTGCAGATCACTGACGACCTTCCAAATTGGGCCACATCGTCTGGCGATGTTTCTTCGTCCGGACCCACTCACCAGTGCCATGGTCCTGGGATCTGTCATCATAGAAACACGATCGCTCGTGTCCTCGATGCACCTATTCCTAGCTTACAATGTGTGTCCAAAATACTTGATTTGGGTGGTGCTTTGCAATTCTTTCTCATCGTTTTTTTTCACTCATTGGCCTCGGCTAGATACTCAAGCATCACTGTGCAAGCTCCAGACATGTGTGCGTAGTAAAAAATTCAACCACGGCCTTGTTGATTCTCAGCTACCACAGTCACCCCTCAATTGATGGTAGGTATGTACACATGCACCAGATATCATCGAGTACCAAGTCCTTTCTGCTCTGTGAGAACTTTGGGAGGTTGTCGTCTGTCCAGCTTCCCTCACTTGCCTCCTGTAGTGAATTCGCCGTTCGCGATAGCGTCAGTGATCTCTTCGTCAGCGCTGAAGTAGACGTCTAGATCGCTGCGTTTCTCTAACAAGAGGTCAACTACCATGCGGCCAAAAACGATCTCGCCAGCTTCCCCCAAGTGGGTTCTATCGGTGCTAGCCAGGTTATAGTACTGGGCGTTTTCCTCCCCTATGGCGTTGACATAGTCGGTACTCGCAAGGTTGAGATCAAGCCACCTAACGCTGCTGGCCTTTGCCGCTGCGATCGTTTTGCCCCTCCATTCAGCAAGATCTCGAACCACTTCGCCATCTTCGAAGCGACGGCGAGTAAGAGACGTGATGAAGATCTAGGCATGGTATTAGTCGCCAGATTTGGTACACTGCAAATGAAGTGCGAACCCACCGGAGTCGCCCCGGCGTCCTTGAGCTCGGTCGCGATATTAACCAGATTGGCCCTGAACTCATCCAAAGTAAGACTCTTCTGGTCATTGTGGCCAAACTGGATAGTGACAACTGGCTCGTAGTCTGCCCTAGTGTCGTTGATACCCTGCAAGAGTGAAGCCCAGCGGCCGTTTGACTTCCAGGAGACGGTGGTAGAACCACTTTTGCCCCTGTTCTCGCCCTTTGCGGGGTCTTTGAGGTAAGACAGGAAGCCGTCACCCCAACCTCCATTGACCGCCACGGTGGAATCGCCGATGAGAAAGAAAAACGGCGGCTTCTTGGCTCGAGCCACGGCCGACCCCATGGCCATCGTCGCCGCCAATGCGAGAATTGATGTAAAGACGGTGGATCTCATTACGCGAAGTTTGTAAGCTGGAAAGCTAGTGATGACGAAGAAATTGTGATTTTGTTGACGATGCCTGAATGCACTTGGTTTATCAAGCTTGATGACCTCTCGGAATTCTAATAGTTCTTCGATCTGACTTTCGATATTTATAGCTTTGATAGCCCCCTCATACGTCTCTCATGAGCATACGACCTATCATCTTTGAGGACTCCCATGATGGTCACGGACCATATGATGGCTGAGTCCACCAGTTGAGTCTCAACCTTTCGACCGAGACGACATGTCGAGCTGAACTGATGCCATCTCATGTACATTATTGCGCGTAGGCGCGGGGCCCCATGGTGAACTTGCCGGCATATTTCGTTTTTCTCGGAGCAAAGGAAACTTTGGCGTCCACGATCAACGCATATCCGGGCAAAACATTCGTGCCAACCCTTTATTGCAGCCTTTGTAACAAATTGGAATTGCCCGCTCTTTGGAAGAGACACCCGCACAATCATTGCCCCGAAGTGGCATACATATATTGAACTACATCCCTGTAGATGCTGTCTTCGGGCTAATGCGGGTCGCTCCGTTCAACCATACCAGGTTCCTAGCCACCTAGTGTGGGTGTTTTCAGGTGAGCCGTAGTGATCGTCGTCTGCGCGTCCAGATCTGCCGGACTGACGGGGCAAGTCTGTCGGATTCCAGGACCAGGTTGGAAAAATAAATTTCACATTCCGGACGAGATGTCCGATACGTGCAGTTTATCCATGACGAGGTTCCTGGCCTGGAAGATTGTCTCCCAACAAAGCCACCTCCATGAACTGATATTCCACAGTACAAAGATGAGATTGAGAGTTTTTCGTGGAATACACGACTGTCAATAATCTGAAGTGTGAATATAGTAAAGGTATGGAGCTTTGCTGCTTCGCCCTGCCGGCAAGCGAAAAGGTGAACTACGGAGCATTTGAGGGATTCATCCGTTTCTGGCTAGTCAGATTCGCTCAAGCCAGGAAAATATTCACTACAATGATCTTCTCATCTGGAGAAGACATAGGAGTAGGTAGGTCGAGGTAACATACGTTCTTAGGCCACTATTCCACATGGGGACATGAACAATGGAGTAGGCCCAAGGCAGATACGAAGCGATGAATACGCATTTTAACTGAAACAACATCTAATTAAACGCATCTGCCGTAAAGAGGTTTCACGAATAAGGATGAAAGAAGGATCAGGTTCGATCATCAAAGCATGGCGTCCTCGTGGCAGTAGGCTAGGACCAAGTCTAAAGTTACACCCGTGCTCCAACTGTCAGCGTGTAAGCGCGCAGGAATGAAAATTTCAGGATCGGCGTAACGCCTGTCCACTGCATTCTGATGGGTTTCACCAATACGCTAAACTTCTGAAAACGTGACTGTCATCCATCGGATTCCCACCTGGGCTCTTGGCGTGGAGATAGCTATACCTTAATCAGACTCAAACCCCTGCTTTAAGAAGCGTGCCCACATCTCAACATGCGGACTGCTCCGTCAAACCCGCACGAGGGGCATCAAAGGGATATCGAGCGGAGAAGTCTTAAGAATTGCCAGGGAAACATATTGAGTCCTGAGGTAATAGCCAGTAGTCCAGCTTGATTATTGTCTTCACCTTTTGCTTTCGCTCTTGATCATACACTCTTCAGTGTCGTCGCTTTTTATACCAGCCTGCCTGCATCTTACTCGCTCATTTGAGAACCGACTTGAGCCAATCCTCCTCTACCTTAGCAACATGAAGTTCGCGAATATCTTGGCAGTTGCCGGTGCAGCTGGTGCCTACACCGTCACCATCGTTGACAAATTCATGTACAAGAATATCGATCCTGTGGTTATACCCGGCCAGTATGCTAGCCACATGCACACATTTTTCGGTTCTGATGCTGTGACATTGAACACAACCACCTCCAAAGAGTTGCAAGCGGGCTGTGCCACAGCGGTCAACCCCAACGACTACTCGTCTTACTGTAAGTCAAGCTCTGTCAAAGAGATAATCTCTATCAAGATAGGAAAGTCTGCTTGTTAATCCGAAATTAGGGGTTCCTACCCTTTTTTACAAAAACGAAACCGCCACTGCCCCCGTTCCCATCAGTCGATTCAGTGCCTACTACGTTGCAATCGAAAAGGCAGAAGTCGCCATTCCACAAGACTACAAGGCTGTCGTCGGCAACGCCTCCGCAAAGTCCGAAGCTGATACCGAGCCTCTAGCGGGCATCCAATGGTTCTGCGAGGGTGGCTCCAGCGCAGGGAAGGACGTCAATGGTTTTCCGTCCAAGACCTGCAACACCCATCTGCAGACGATCCTCCTGTTCCACGACTGTGTCAACCAAGAGACACTCGAATCCACATACTCTGGAACCCAACACTGGACCGCCACCAGCAAGCCTGCCAACCGCTGCCCTCTTGATATGAAGAGGATGCCCCAACTGCGCTTCAGCATCCGCTATGATCTTCGCAAGGCTTTGCCTGACGGCTGGGAGGGAACCGCCCCTCTGGAACTGGCTTGCGGCCCCGCCTATTGCACCCACGGCGACTTCATCAATGGATGGCTTCCTGAAGCTGCCGAGAACATGTTACTTGCAAATTCAAAGAGGGATTTTGCCGGTGTAGATGGTCCTGCAGGCAAATACAGTGCTGGATCTGTCTGCGGTGCTCAGAACGCCACGGACGCTGATCCGGAGAACGGCACTTCCGACTATCTGACCAGCAAGCAGATTCTCCAGAGGCTTATAGACCAGAAGGCTTGATCAAGTGGATTTTGTTGTATTTGTTCGGCTTGGTCAAGTTTTATTGTGTACGCTTGATAGCCGACTTTTCCTCATCAAACCTACGATCGTCCAAGACAACGAGAGGGAAGGTGGTTTTTGCCTCTGAATCTGCGAAGACCCCTTACATCTAACCAAAGTCGTCTTGTAGACTATTAGGTTGATTCCTGGACCTCGTTGCAACTGATAATGGCCTTATTTGTGTATTCTTTCTCACTAGGTACTCTTGTATTACTACTACAACATTAATGACCTTACTTAAATCAATAATAATTGGGCACATCCCCATTCCATGCCCGAACACAGCTCTTGCGAAGATTTTGCAGGATGTATCACCTATGCAAACCTACGTTTGAACTCAAAACGCAGATCCTTATGCGAACTATAGCGGTGAAGTGTCTTGGAATTGGAAGGCCGGATTTACCTTGGTTGCGTTGAGTGAAGGGGTGGTCTCATTTCCACTGTGTTTGTTGTTTACAGCCATTCAGTATTACATAGTTTGTGTGTCAGTTCTCTGTTACAGGATGGCTCACCAAGCCTTACAGCGTTAGGCACCCGATAGACCATGACCTACATCTTAGGGTGCTGTACCTATGTGGCGGCTTCACCACAATTAACCGAAAATGCGTAAATGAACCTTGTCATCGGAAGGAAGAGGCACGATTTCATTCCGAGAGTCTCTACCTCAATTGTTTATGCAAGTTTGCCCTACACGGTTTAGTGAGGGCAGTACTTGATTTCTAGGAGAATCATAAATGACATGGAATAGTGTGTCTACCTCAATCGGCCGAGTCGCTTCACTTGAAACCCTACGGGTGTCACTCATTCGGGAACTCTCACCTTAAGCCCGATAAACTGAGCCTATTCGGGGAAGTTCTCATTAGGTGATTAGGTCAAGTGTCTAGATTGAGTAATAATTACCCGGGAAGAGAGACCGCGGTCAACGGTGGAGAGCGGCGGAGAACGGTCGCCAGGGTCGATCCCTCCAAGCAAGGGCTGCTGAGCTGCTAAACCCTGCTGCGCATTGGCTGTCTTTTCCTTTCTTGTCCTCCTTTTTTCTATCACTAAATGAGCAAGCCCACACTTGATCAGAGTTGCCTTCAATTATTCTCATGTCTATGAGACATCTTCACCTTGTGAAATATCTAAAGGATTGTTTCTCAAAAAGGTGGGCATAAGTTGAGCAGGAGGCCATGGGGTCGGGCCCTGATTAAATGCGCTGTTGGTCTACGGTATCGGGGTATCGTCCTTGTTCTAGCTAGGTACGTCGTTACGACAGCACTGATGAGCGAGGTATTAGCTATCTTCGGCCTTAGTGCTAGATTGGCGACGTACTAAAGTGCCCAACTGTTAATCCAAAGCAGAGAAAGATACTTTCCAGTAACCAGATAGGGCCAAAAGGACGCAACACGTGCATGTGGATCCAAGTGTTTTCTTGCTGGCATAGAACTCGAAAATGGATTTTGAGTCAAACATATCTTCTTTCATCAACAGTGCCTCAACTTTGTCTACTCACAACGACTGCAATAGAGGAGACTGGCCTTCTTCAACAGCTCCTTTACAAAAGCCCAGCCAACTTGAGGCAAAGAAGCGGTGCATTAAACATTCGCCTTTACGTGCAATTGACAGGACCTGCACGGAAGATGTCGCAAACGGCTGTAAAAACATCGTCCATACAGTTGAGAAACATTCGCGGCCCTATAGCATCTTCACCATCTACAGACTTCCACGACGACGAAGAGAGATCAAGGTCAAGAGATAGATCATGCTATGTTGAACGTGATGCCGCGAGTCTCAACGAATTGACCTTTCCTGAGGGCGGCTGGCAGGCGTGGCTGGTGGTCTTTGGATCATTTTGTGCAATGCTTTCGGTTTTCGGCCTCATCAACTCGGCTGCCGTCTTTGAGTCATACTTCTCAGAAAACCAACTCGCTGATCATTCTTCATCCGAAATTGGATGGATATTCAGCCTGTACCTTTTTATTGTCTTCTTTATTGGCATTCAAGTTGGCCCCCTATTTGACCAGTATGGCCCCCGCGGCCTCGTTGTCGCTGGTGGCCTTTGCATGTCTGCAAGCCTTCTCTTATTGAGCTTATGCAAAGGTTTGCCCCTTCTCACGGCTAAACTCGTCATTTTTCCTAACGGGTGTCACACAGAGTACTATCAAATCCTTCTGGCGTACTCGATTCTAGGTGGCTTGGGTGGTGCTCTGCTAAACTCACCCTCTTATGGCGCTATTGCTCACTTCTTTGACTCGCGCCGAGGCTTTGCCACGGGCATAGCAGCCACAGCTGGTTCGATAGGTGGAATAGTGTATCCCATCTTGCTTCAGAACCTGTTTCCGACTCTGGGGTTTGGTCCGACAGCACGGATTCTTGGCTTCATTCTCCTAGGACTCACAGTACCCGCAACTCTCTTTATTCGTTCTCGGCTGCCAAAGAAGGAAGGACCCGGATCCATCTGGCCTGACTTCACCGTCTTCAAAAATCTCAAGTTTACTCTATCGGCAGTCGGGATCTTCTTCATGGAATGGGGTCTCTTCGTTCCCATAACCTACATTATCTCCTATGCCGCGACTCTGCCCGGCAGCAACGTTCATTCGTATACAATTCTCTCCATCCTCAACGCAACATCAGCAGTGGGGAGGTTTTTGCCGGGCTTAGCTGCAGACAAGTACGGAAGATTTAACGTCATTCTCATCACCATCGCCCTGTGCTTCATCACAGTTCTCGGTCTTTGGCTGCCCTCGGGCAACTCTCAACCAATGCTCTTAGCTTTTGTGGCTATATTCGGTTTCGCAAGCGGAAGTAACCTGGGCCTGGTCCCGGTCTGTCTAGGCCAATTATGTGACGCGAGGGAATATGGGCGGTATTTGTCCACGGCGATGATGATGGCCAGCTTCGGCACTCTGAGCAGTTTGCCAATTGCTGGTGCCATCCTCGAGGCAAAGGAAGGAGGTCAAAATTGGAAGGGCCTGATCTTGTTTTCCGGTGTCTCTTACTTTCTTGCTTTCATTTGCTACGCCGCGGTCAGGGTGTTTGCCGTGGGGTGGAAAATCTCAGCAAGGTTTTAAGAGAGCAGTCAACATTAATGGCAATATCCTGAAGTTCAAACAAGAGCTGTATTTCTGAGACTGCATGACATTGCTACTTCCTATACCATAGACATTTCTCCAATAAGCTCAATTGTCTACTTCTCAGCTTTAGTATGTGCAGCTATTCCTATCGGTCTTTACTCCTATTGTCCCGGGTTTGGTAGGATCTGACCACTGCCAGTGATCTGTCTCCATGATTCTCTACGCAAGATGGGTCAGTGATCCATGTTGTGCTTGAGGTACATGATCATGGCAAATTCGGGCCGAAGCGCCGCGGAAAAGCCGATGTCAGGGCTGTCAGGGCTGTCAAGTCTGCTTATCGAGTACAAGACCCCCAGAAGCTGGACCTCATCGTGGCTCTTGTCTCAATTCAACATGTAGTTACTACATTACTATCGCTAGTGAGTTCTCACTGAGTCATAATATAGCAGAAAAGGTTCAATGGCTCTACGGTGTAACGCGCGGGGAAGGTCCATTTAGCCGACTCTAAGCTTGACTAAGTGCAGCATATGTGAGCGGTGACAGGATTATGAGGAAGGCAAATTTCGCCTCATTTTCTTGGGCGAGCTGGTAGTGCTACTGCCCTGGTACTTTCTTGATGCGCCGATTATCATGTCAGCCGCAAATCTCGGCGAAATGACTCAACATCAAGCAGTATCTACTCAACGTCCGACTCAATGTTTCTCATAGACCCCGTGCTGAAGACTTCGAGAGTGATCTGTGAGGACAAGGAAGCGGGGCTTTCCTGCTGTGGAAGCACCATGGCATCTGGCTTGCGGGTGTTGTCGCCTAATCGAGCTAGCCCACTTAGTGAGTGAACGATCTCTTCCCAGAAGAAGACGAAAGTGAATGACGATAAGCTACTGAGTGACTCGATTCGGACACTCCTGGTCCGTGATTCTTGGCATGGCTCCATCCAGATCATATATGCAGCTGAACGCTCAACGTCCTAGAGCATGTGGAGGAATCTGCTGCTAACTGTGGTCAATGTTAGATGTCGGTGCATCTGTATGGCTCTCCAAACTACTGCCAACGAATTCCTGAGTCAGGCAAAGCGTGGCCATCGCTTTTCATCGTGTGAGGGAGCCTTTGATTGGGTCAAATTCATAGCTGGTATAAGCTCTGAATGCATCGACGATGGGCTGCTCTGTGCCTTTCTGTTCATCTACCTACGGCTAGTCTAGTGGTCTGTGGTTCTGCAGTGCAAATGCCATTGGAAAGAAAATCCTGCCGCTCACGGCCTGCTGTGGCGGCCTTATCCATATCTGCAGGATGGGAGGCAGGAGCATCTTTTCGACTTTTATCTGCCCAGTCATAGCTGATCAGGAATTCTCCAACGTCATGAGCGATTTATTTAGACTTATTTCCTCACCTGTTCATGAGACGTGGTCGGATCTCGGCACAGGCACAGCCTCACCTAGCGTGCAATGAACACCGGCCGGAAACTCACACTTCTGACGGGGCAAGGCCCGACCTCCCGACAATGATCGCCATCATGAGCCTTCTTCGAGAACAACGGGGTCTAGTTGCATCCAAATGTGGCTATCAAAGAAAGCTTCGCTACTCCTATATGGCCCGAAGTCAGAATATAGCCGTAACTGCCAGCGTCCCCAGATAGCCGCGGTGGGTAATAAGCCGTGGGGAGGCATTGGGAGGCGTGGGGCGGCAGAGGTTGCGACTGGTTGGACTTTCCCATCAACTCAATTTACAGTAAAAGTCATCTTGAGAAAAGAGTAAAGCTTCAGACGACAGAACGATGGGGGTTTTGTGTGAAACTGGAGATTCCTGCCCCCCACCGCACACCCGACCCCAGCATGAGAATAACGCCACGGCTGCTCCCGGTTGTGTGTAAGCCCGGCGAGTTTTGTCCTCTCGGGATATCCGTTCAGGTTCGGCCTCTCCCTGCAAAGAACGCGTGAGTATTATGACATGACGGATTGGCTCAACATAGTCAATGTCGGAGATATGAAACGACCCGACATGACAAGGCCCTCGAATTCCTTTCTGGGCGAAATGGCATATCAAGGCTAGTGAGATATGCAATACAGAAAAACGTATGCGGAAACACATGGAGCGACCAGTTTATTCCTCATTGTAATGACTATGCTCATCTGAGTGGGCTCAGCCACGTCCCATTGGCCATGTTCATGGCATATGAAGCGTTTTCGGAGGTGCCCATTCGAACTAGAAACGTTGACGCTATGCTGCTGTAGGCAACTCCAGAATGCTTGATATCACCCAGACTTCAGATGAGAAGCTCTGGCACACAGTAAGTACGCTAGGAGCAGCATAAGCTATTCTTTATGTAAGGTAGCCAATGCAAGATAAGGTGGCTATGGATGGGGACCGTGGACTTTTGCCTGCCGGCCACTTGCACCTAGAACTTTACTGAGGCGAACCAGTACCCCGCGGGACTGACAGTTCCCCGCGCGACCTTGGCGAAGTCGTGAGGCACTGAGTTTTTGTTTGCGTCAGCTCGCCCAATTGGGGTTTGCAATAAACGTTCTACGCCCAGTCATATGTGGTTGGGGATTGCTGGTTGGAGAGGCTAGCACCCAGGCCGTCGGATAGGGCTGAGGACAATACAACCAAGTACGAAAGCGGGCAGAACAGGGCCAAGCCCGTTCTAGCTGGCATGGGCTTAGTCTGGAATCAGGCCACGATGGTAGTTGGTTGTGGCAAACGATGCAATCGAAAGAGTTTAACATTACCGAAGATTTACCAAGCTTCGCTAGTTTCGACTCCAGGACACTACGAGCAAGGGTTTAGCCTGCTTTCAAACCACGAATTGGGTCGTATGTAGAGTTCGCGCACCTGCACCCGAGTCAACGCATGCATATGTTCCTCGACACCTGAGTTGTGACCCTAGCGGGAGGTCTAATCTTGTCCAACATTCATTCGGATAACATCACGGCAAGTCAAAGTCAGGCCATTTGTGCACCGTTTGAGTTCCTAGCCCTGGTGAAGTAATCCGGCTGGCAGCGCTGATACCATTTCCCATGGCGATCATCGATGCAAGTTGCGATGGCGATGATAACAATGAACATATCTGTCGTCAGTCACTCGCCTCAGTCACTAGTTCGGACATCATTCCGAACCAGAAAGCTGTCCAACGCAGCGGGGGGGAAACAACGCCCAGACTCAGGAGTACATATGAAGTGATGATTTATACCAGAGTGAGAAAGAGAAAGAGGCGACGAAAAGAAGCAGGCCGCCGCAAAATAAAACACGAGTGGGTGATCATCTTGTGAATTCAGCAAGCTACTCTACTATAAGATGAACAGATATCAACCTAGTGAAGCGAAGCTCTTGATTGCATGACCTTAAGGTTTGAGAGGGAAATCCGAAGTTGATCCACAAGTCTCTCTCAGACCTGCGGGTAATGCTCACCATCTGGAATAGTCAAGGAAGCCTTCTTCGGATAAACGAATCTTCTGAAACAGATCATCACAACTCTTTCTCCAATGGAACTCCGTGGCTGTCGCACTGAGCTTTTAGATAGGAACACGAAGTGAACGATGCGGCGGGTGGGGCCAACTCCAAAGAGGGGGAACGGGGGCCTTGACCTCCAGACATGTGTCTCTCTCGATATGCACCCAAGCTACTACTATCCAAGGAATAGGAACAGGCCTAGAAACAATGGGGACCTGAGCTGAAAGGTAGGGAGGGGAGGGGGGTCAAGCCATCAAAGTTCGGCTAGAAGTCCAGCAGAATCCATTCCACGAGGCGTCTGGATGATTGCAGGACTCAAGCATTGCCTGTTCAAGGTTTAGTAGCGTCCTCAAGAGACATGATATTTGTTACATGTAGGCCAAGAACCATGGCCGGCTAGATCTTTCAGGACTCATTGGACAGGGATTGGGCTACCAGCCTACCTTACCTTGGATGGTCCTCGCGGGACGATCTCCTGCATCTCGACTCGGAAATCACGGCCCGGGGTCTATCAGTGCTTTGAACTACGCACAGCTGTGATGAACATGAAGCGGGGATGGTTTACATATTCCAAGACCCCCACAACACACCTTGACCACGACGATATAAGCTCTCTTGTGTCTGTTTCCTCTGCCATCCCATCCATCATATTCCATTCCAAGCTATTTCATGCGATGTCTTCGCCGACTTCAGTAAACACCACGGACGTTGGCGGGAGAGTATACAAACGTCGACCTGGCGCTTGCGAGACTTGCAAAGTACGAAAGCGAAAATGTGGGTTGGGATGCTCAAACAAATCTTCACAATGACAACCTGACAATTTTTAGGCGATGGTGGCAGGCCGAGCTGTGATAAGTGCCTCGTAAGTGTACTGGTGCCTCGATAGTACCACTGGATTCTCATGATCTGCAGTCATCCGCCTCCTTCTGCTTCTATGTCACACCGAAGAAGAGAGGAAGATCCAGCCAAAACAGTAGGGAGATCCAAACAGACTGCGTTGATTGCCATACAGCAACTAAGCACAACCTCTCAGGCTTGAACGCAACAACCAGACAAAGTGCTTCATTCGAAGACTTCAGCTATGCGTCACAGCAGTCTACATCACCCCCATCACCAACAGACCACTTACGATACTTTGGGCCATCATCAACTCAGTCGTCACTCTCTGGAGTGAACAGACTCTTGGATCTTGGGCAATTCCCGACCGCTATGACAACTGAATCCCTCGAAGAACACTGGGGACCGTTGTCAAGTGGTCTATTGAACTCGCCTGAAGCTCTAGGAACACAAAGCACGGAGATCATCGCCAGTCCAGTCTCTTCGGCATTGGAGTATTGTTGGAGCACACAACTTTTGTCCAATGGACATAGCGTTTCTGGTCCACAGGATTTTGACGGTCTGATAACAGCCGGCTGGAATCTTTCAAATCTGCAGACAGCCAACGACGAGAGCACTGTCGACCATCCTGTTCGTGGTATGACTACGTTTCATGATTTTGGAACACCTGAGCTTAGCTGACAAGATGATGAGTAACATCTGCGTACTCAACAACCGATATGGTGAAGCTCCTCATAGGACGGGATCGGAGTTCTTGCAATTCTAAACAGTTCGGACAGAACCTCATGGATCTTGTGGACGAATCTACCACCTGCTGTTACAGCCCGAAGCTTCCGGAGAACACTTATCAAAGGGTTCAGCCCAGCCTTGAAACACTAGTTGAGTTTCTTCATGGTACACTGCTATCAGTTCCAAGAGCAGTCTAGATAGATATGGAGATAGGAGCTAACTTTGACCCTTAGCTTTCACCGCATCTGAACCATATCTGTGAGTCATTCGAAATTATAGCATACGATTCTGACAGATCGATTGTTCTCTAACAATCTCTCGTAGTGGGTCGAGATACATAGGAGAGACTGAGATTTCACGACTCTTCGAAGATGTGGTTATGAAGGGGATGTCGGACCATGTCAATAGTTCGATCGTGTACGCGGCCCTTTCTATCGGTTGTTTGACCTCTATGAGGCAATCCGGAGTGTCACAAGAGACAGAATCGCACATGAGATGCTTATATAGCAACGCAATGGTGCACATCGAGAAAATACACATGTGCCCTTCAACAGCTCTGAGCTTCAAGGTATTTCTACACACCGCGCTACTTGAGTACAGCGAGTCATTCTGACTGAACTATATAGGCGCTTATTACACTTGTAAGTATAGGAGTCGATTTGAAAGGCTTCTAAACACTAGTATGTGAAATTCTCATTTATAGCTGACACTATTCGCAAAGCTCGTTGCCTCAGCCTTGTGGAAACCAGCGGACATGGATTGGTTGCTAGGAGTCGCAGTCTCCTGCGCCCAATCCCTTAAACTAAACAATCTAGCATGCTTGAAGACAGTTTGTCAAACGACCGGAGAGGTCGAATCATTAAAGCACGCGTTCTGGCTGCTGTACACCATCGAAAAGCCGTATCGATTGCGAAACGGACAAGCTTCGGTAAGCCTGCCGACTCTATGCATTAGCCATGTCAGTCATACACTAACCTATATACTCTTGCCTAGGCTTTGAATGATGCCTACATCGACCACGAGCCGATGTCTTCCGGGATCGAAGCTGGAAAGCCGTTGATTCAAACCTTTGGGGTTCATTACCGTCTAGCTCAATGTTGTGCCAGGATAGCAAGCGACTTCGACAGTCAGGAAGCTCTTTCACAGTCTATGGTCTTCACATCAGAGAATCTAGACAACTGGTTGGAACAGCTTCAACAGTTGAAAGTTGACGTCTTCACGGCACGGCAGCAGCCCGCATCAGCCATGACGTGGGATCCGAGAATCGCCTCACCGAATAGTCCGTGTATGACACCTTCAGAGGGGGATATCTCAGCAAGCCTACTCTACTTCGAGCTAGTGTTGTGCGTCTGTGGACGTTTTTCAGCCAGTTCTTTGGGCGACTCAAGCACTGATAAGATTGAACAAAAGGTTCTTGAGTCTGCTATTGATATCTTGAAATTGCTCGTCGAGGTCGATCCCACCAAGGCGGGTACAGATCAGTATGTCTCCGTCGCGTTGTCTTCTTCGCTCTTAGCACTAACCTAACACTCTTCCAGGAATTTGGTGCGCATTGCCGTCAGTTCGTTCTGCCTCGTTGCGACTTTCATCTCAAGGGCGAATGAGCGGGCCACGATCTTCAGATATCTGGTTTCAACGCTCGGTTTCTTCGCTCGGATGACAATCAATTCACCACTCATGACTCTGGGGAAATTCAGCTCCGTGGTGGACTCAGTGCAAAAGGTACTCAAGAATGATGGTTGAAAAGCTATTAACTATAGTTTCTGATTTACAATTTCAATACCCTTCAATAGATTAAGCTTCAGGTTACCTGGCGAGTTTGCCTTGGTATGGTACGTCTTTTTATGCCCTTTCTCGTCTTTCTGATGGGCAGGTGTTGAAATTCCGATGGCCTTCAGTCACCTAGTTGTAGTAAAGATTTATGGACGATTGATTTTTACATGCTTTCATTTGAATAGCATACCAGAATGCTGGTACATTTCGAATACCAGCAGTCCTCCCATCCGACACTTGCTCTACGACTTTGTAGGATTCTGTTGTCTCTAGTGAACCAGCCACTCGTTGATCTTGCTCTCTTCCAGTCGGCATTGGTGGGCAAAAATGTAGTGGTATCACAGTACCTACTTGAGGCAAGTCTAAGCGCCTGGATGAGGTTAGCCATGCCTCCACTCGTCTCAACGAGTTCCTCTGCGGGGTAAACGGAGCACGCCCCGTGGAGAAGCCATACATGGCGTTACAGACTGCGTGGACCTGTCTTTCGCCAGTTCGTCTCATTCGACATAGCTCAGGGTCCGATCGTCGGCCTCATGAGCGTGTACAAGCCGATCCATGCTCTCACCCCTCGCCAAAGTTCTCGATGTGCTACTTACCCCTACTCAATTGCCCCAAGATTAACATCATTCAGATCACAAAATTGTCTCCCGTAGCACCCTCATAACACCGTGGTACATTACTTCAAAGGATTGCCTTCGTGAACTGCGAACGCCGGCAATCAAGTTTCTATCGATTAGCAGCTGGTCTTTCCATACTTCCAACATATTCGGCGAGATGACGGACCCCACCAAGAAATCAGTCGCACCTTATAGCGTGGTCGGAAAGACGGCCATTATCACAGGGGCTGGCTCAGGTATCAACCAAGCGGACCTGTCACCACCGCATTAAAAAATATTTAGTAATTTCATTAATCCTAGGTATCAACTTTTCCTTTGCTGAGCTGCTCCTTCAGCGTGGTTGCAATGTCGTCATTGCTGACCTGGCTCTTCGGCCGGAGGCGGCGCAGCTCGTTTCGAGCTACCAAGACAAGTCGAACGCCAGGCCACGCGCAGTCTTCGTCAAGACCGATGTGACATCATGGCCGGCACTATCCAACATGTTCAAGGTCGCCATGGAGGAATTTGGGAGCTTCGACATCTTCTGTCCCGGAGCGGGTGTCTATGAGCCGCACTGGTCCAACTTCTGGCACCCTCCTGGGTCATCCGAGAGCAAGGACAGTGTAGAAGGCGGGAAATATGCTCTGCTTGATATCAACATCACCCATCCCATCCGTTCTACGCAGCTGGCCATCTCGTACTGGCTTCATCCCAAGGAGGCCACGAACGCCGCCTTGCCACCTTCTATCGAAGCTTCGCCCGAAAACCCAAAGCGCATAGTTCACATTTCATCAGTGGCTGGACAGGTTGCAAACATCAATGCTCCTCTCTACGCAGCTTCCAAATTCGCTATCACTGGGTTCGTCCGCAGTCTCGCTCGCTTGGAAGAGACAAATGGGGTCCGCGTTAACGCTGTTGCACCGGGTGTCGTACGGACGCCGCTCTGGACTGAGCATCCGGAGAAGCTGGTCAATCTGGACGAAGCGCAGGATGGTTGGGTCACCCCGCGAGAGGTTGCTGAGGCAATGCTACGATGCGTCGAGGAGGAAGCTCTTGTCGGAGGATCAATTTTGGAAGTTGGCAAAGACAACACGCGCTTGGTCGAAGCTTTCAACGCGCCGGGTCCAGACCCCGACCCAAAGAGGGGCCTTGTTGCCAGAAACGGGTCAAAGGGAACAGACATGGTCTTTTCTTGGTTGAGGGATGCCACCAAATGGGCTGTTGGCAGAGATTGATATTACTACATGAGGCGTTGAATTTGCATGTATGTAGGTTGAAAACGCACTCTATGGTCGTAATGTACGTCCTGCATATCCCGGAGTGCCTGTACTTAATGGCGCCGGGCGACGAATGTGGGTTGGACACTTGACTACGTGTAAGTTCTCAGGTATCTAAGGTAGTCTGGTATCAGAAAAGCTCGCCTAGCGAGACCGCGCAACCTTCGACTATCTCCGACCAATTCACTTGATGAGGTGCCTGGTGCACTGACAGACGATAGGAGTCACGAAATCAATTTTGGGTTGCTGCACGGGGACGTGGTGAACAAAACTCACAGATCGTGAGAATAGCGCATAAGCCAGTACCATTGATGACCGCGGCAAACGATAGTACAATTGTGCAGCACCAGGTCTAAACAGTACGGAGTATCCAAACTTGTATCAGAAGAAGCGCGTGCTCCAAAGGGTTTTAGCCGAAGGCGTTTGACTACGAGGGCTGGCCGGTGAGCCGTTTGACTTTCGACCCCCGGTCTAGCGGGCCTACGAGAGATGCTCCCCTCCTATGGCTGTTCGAACGAACAAATACGGACGTCTCGGCGCGGCCAAACCGGAGCAGGTACGGGCATGTATGGTCTGGTTGCCTGTCTCCAAAGTGGCAACCAGTCTGGAATTTTGTGGGTGTCAGCTCATCGCACGGGAAAGTTTGCTCAAGCAGAAATTCAAGCTCAGTTTCCCAAATCAATGCCTTGTTAAAAGACTTGGAAGCATGATCTTGCCACGTGCAGTCCAGATGCAAGAATCTCAGAACTACAATGATACTGTGCGTACTGCACGCTCAGAGTTCAAGCTGTCACTAGGCCAAAGGACGAGTGGACAGAACGGACATCCAGGGCCGACCCCTTTATGGTATTTCTGCGGTAAGGCGCAAGAAGCGCGTCGAGGATCGTACAGTGAGGTGTACGGAGAAGTCGGTAATTGCGCTCAATTTGTTAGAGTTCGACCACTGACAATTCGGCTTGCACCGAAAGCGAAAGCCCGTATTGCACTTTACGGTAGGGGCCAAGCGATGGTCTGCGCGAGTCAGGGGTCTTTCCCAGGAACCTCAGATCTTTTATAAGGATTGAGGCGATTATTGATCGTGGTCGAAGGATCACGGTTGAAATTATTTTGGTTTACTCAGCTGTCCGCCGGACCATCATGAAGTCATTCATTAAGCAGGCTGCCTTCGCAGCTTGCCTCCCATGCTTGGTTGTGGCTGATTACAATGACGCGTTTGTTGTTGAGTTCGATTCATCAGTGCAATTGGTAAAGCCACCCAAGTGTGTCCCGGTAGCGTAGATGCCACTAACCTAGCAACAGAGCCCAGCAGATCTCATCAGCCGGACTCAGGCATCTCTGGCAGCTTCTGGCTTAACCTGCACTGCATCTTCGCGATATCATTTCACTCACGCTGTATTTCAAGGCGGATCTTTCAACGTCGACTGCACCAACAATGGAGTTTCTCAGAAGGCGGTGCTGTCGACCATACAGTCGATTGATGGCATTCAGAAGGCCTGGCCTGTAACTTCAGCAGCACCAGCCGTCCACATGCCGAGAATTCCAGGTATTTCTGACGGCGATTGGGGAAGCAGCACTCATGGTTCGTCCAAGCGCGACTTGTCTCAGGTCTTGGCTCTCCAAGCAAGAGACAATATCGCAGCCGATACCTTGCCGACGCATGTTGATACTGGGGTGTCGAAGCTACACGCCAGCAATATCACTGGTAAAGGCATCCGTGTGGCAGTCATTGACAGCGGTTTCGACATCGATACTCCGGGCCTCAGCAAGACCAACATTGTCTATGCTCACGACATGACAGACGGCGACAATGATGTTCGTGACAACTGTTCCTTCCATGGCACTCATGTTCTGGGTATTGTAGGAGCCAAGGGTGATGAGGGGAGGTTTGGTGTCGTTGGCGTGGCCCCTGATGCCACATACGAGCTTTACCGCATCACAGGTTGTACTTCAGGAACTACGGATGACGCGATCATCAACTCGTTCCTCGAAGCTGCAGAAAGAGGCGTCGACGTTATATCATGTTCATATGGGGGTGCCCTTACTTTCCCTGAAGGTAATTCGGCCCCATTCTAAGTTCTAAACTCAAAGAAGGGGAAGTGCTGACAGGTTCAAGACCCCTGGTCTATCGTAGCCACACGACTGTTTAACAACGGCACCTATATCTCCCTTGTAGCCGGAAACGGTGGCCCTGGCATCTTCACAGGCGCCAGCCCTGGGGGTGCAGATGCTATCGCCGCCGTTGGGTCTACCGACAACTCGCAAACTCCTTACTACAACTGGGGAGGCAATTGGACCGCAGGAGGTGAAGGTGGATCGCTTCGCTTTGTCCCTGGCATGCCGTTCGACTTCCCATCAAAAGAAGGGCTGACAGTCTGGACTTCAGACACACCCAACACCAATGGTTGCCAGCTGCTTCCTGATAAGTCCAGTTTGCCGGCCGACTTGTCCAAAGTCATTTTCCTCTCCCAGTTTGACCAATGCTGGATGGCAGCCGATAACTCTACAGTCTCACTCACGAAAGAGTTTGGCATCCCTTATGTCATGTACTACAGCTGGAGCAATTACACGGTCTCTGAAGGCCCGCTATTCCTCAAGGTCTCCGCAGCAAACCAGAAAGGGGCTGTCACGGTTGACTATGAAACAGCAAAGCAACTACTGGATGCCAAGGCAAAGCACGGTTCCGTTCAGGTGTTCCTTGCCAACGAGGTCTCTGTTGCAGATGTTAGTCTCACTTATAAGGCCAATAACCGCTCTGGTCTCATGAGCTCCGTATTCACCAGCTGGGGCCCAACTCTTCGAGCAGGATCCATGCCCGCATTCCATGCCCCCGGAGGAAATATCTTGAGTACTTTCCCTGGATGGCTTGGAGGCTATGGAGTGGTCAGTGGTAAGTTGAACCTCTATCCGCGAGCTATGCGAGCACTATCATTGATAGGTGTGTTACGTTAGGCACTAGCCAGGCCACCCCGTTTGTCGCCGGCATCGCTGCGCTTGTCAAACAGCAGCATCCCGATTACAGCTCTGAAGATATCCGGAATGTCATCGCGGCCACATCACGGCCTGTCAAGTGGTACGATGGCAAAGGAAACACTGGAGACTTCCTGGCACCCGTCTTCCAACAAGGGTCTGGCCTTGTCGACGCGTGGGGAGCAGTTCACTCGACCACATTACTCAGCGCCTCTGCCCTTTCATTCAATGACACGGCCAACCGCCCCAAAGAGTTAACCTTCACAATCAAGAACACCGGGTTGAAGACTACCACCTACGATCTGAGTCATGTTGGAGCCAGCTCTGGTTATGTGCTTGAGAAGGTGGATAGCTACCAACTCACTGAGGCCGTGGTGTATCCAGTGTACGCCGAAGTCAGCATCAACCCTACAACTCTCTCAGTTGAGCCAGGGAAGACAGCCACTGTTTCGGTTTCGGTCTCAAAAGAGCCCGCTTTGTCGGAAGCTTCAACTCGTGTGTCCTATTTTGGAGGCTACATCAACATTGAAGCCAAGGGTGCAGCTGACATCAACAAACTCTCGCTACCCTACACCGGCTTCGGCGCGCCATTGACTACCTTACACAGCATCAACCGGGACAAATCTTATCTGTCGTCATACAATGTAACTGCCGGCAAAGCATCGCATGCCGAACCAGGCCGCGTTTATACCTGCACGTTGAACATCACCGCAGATATTCCAGCTTCGTTCCCAGGCAATGAGTTTCCCGGCATCGAGGTCTTCCTCTTCTTGCAGTCGCGCAACATGAGCATCCACATGGTAGACGCAAAGACTGGAAATGTAGTGGTCAACTCCTACCAGAGTACGTCAGAGGTCCCATGGAACGGTTCCACTTGGTATTGGGATGGTTCCGACGATAACAAAGCTCCCGTGCCGGCTGGTACTTACATCTGGCGCGTCAAGGCACTGAAGATGCTTGGAGATGCGGCGAAGGAGGAGGACTGGGAAACCTGGGAAGCCGGTACATGGGTTCTGGAATACACTGCTGACAGCATTTTCCCTTCGAGTTCAACGATTCCGAAAAGGTAACGCAATAATATGGGAACACCGAAATAAATAAGGTCAATGCAAACCCAAATGATGAAGTCTGGCGAAGATGGGATTTATATCCAGTGGTGTTGAACACGACCAGATAAAGTAAATTTATAAGGTCACCACGAAGAAGAAACTAAAACAATTGGAGTCTCCGTTCCCATCTTGAGCTCTTTAACAATGTTGCCTACCTTAGCCTGGGGAGTTGCGACAGGTTAGTCAACCCCTGTTAAGCTCGCTTGCGATGATGAGCCACGCTTGGCACTGGTCAGAGAAGTAAGACCTAGCGGAACAACCTTGCTGCCTTGCACGTACAGAGGACTTTTTACTTCCCAGTTCGGGCAAGTTTGTCTCAATGAGCCGGAAAAGATCCAATGATATCATTCTTCTGCATAGGTTTGCGGCGAAGTGCATTTACACATCATGTGGTCTGTCTTGTCTTCTGGCAATGCTAAGAGGGTCCTCCTGCTCAATTCTCGGACTTTAAATAGCTGCAAAGCCATCCACAGAGCTATCAGTCTCCGCTTTCATTTTGTGCTATAACATATCGCTTGACCTCTATCTAACGCACAAAGATTTGAGCAATACAAATCCAAATTTCTCACGCACTGCGATCCATTTTCAGTATGGGCTGGTATGAAATCACCGACGACTATATTAAAGACTCGAAGATCAACATCCCAGTATGCGAAACTCTCCAACTCAGAGATGTTTACGGCGGAACCCAAAGAACCATATACCGCGTTGATCAGAGCGGACGACAGTTTCCAGTGTGGACTGTCAACGAGAACATTGAAAGCGGCGTACTTGCGATTGTCTCCGCCGACCCCAGAGCACAGGTCCCCGCAGGCAATGCCGTTGGTATCATCAAATACCACACCATGTCCTCAAGAACACAAATCACCCTACGCAGATCAGAACTCAGTCTGGGGCTTACGGACTACAGCCATGGACACGAAATCAACTTCAACGGCTGCAACTACCGATGGGTTATGTCCAAAAATACCATGTCGACGAACACGCTTTACCTGAAGACCGATGGGAATCGAATTTTAGCAAGATGGTCAGGAAAGCCCGAAGGTCGAGGGGGCGACCCAAATCCGGTCTTTGAACTATTCGTTCCCCCTCAAACGCTGGACATGGACTTTTTGGTAGTCACCGGTTTGGCGGCTGCAGGATACTGGAAGAAGGCAGACAAGCTCAAGAGCCCGATAAGCAAGATTTTGAAGATTATGGGAGGCCTGGGTCCATAAGGTAAATTTGTTCTGGCAGGTAGTGGCATTGAAGCCCATCATGCTTTTCATTTAAATACCAATCGGCTAAGACTGTTGTAAATGCAAGGATCCTCGTGGCCTGCGTTGAAAGATTGTTTATTCCCACTTTCGGTCAGGTTCTAGATTGCCAAAGGACGTCTCTTGATGTGCACCAACAGAGGTGGTTTCTTCCAGATGGACCAGGCTTTGTGCTTAGAATATGGTTGTGTCCAATTGGTCGAAGACGAGTCGAGCTTCATATCGAATTCCCATAGCAGTCGCGAAATGATGACGCGCATCTCATTGTATGCCAAGTGCTTCCCGATGCAATTGCGAGGGCCATACGAGAATGGCTGGATAGCGTCCCGCTTGTCCGCATAAAATGGAGACTTAGGGTCTTGAGCAACACTGGGAAGTCATCGTTCAGGAGCAAAGCTCTCTGGCTCAGCGAAGTTGGAAGTTGATAGACCGGCAGCGGAGTGATGAACCCCAACACGAGTCTTTAACACGTCTCTGTTAGCAAATTTTCAAGCTTGGACGAGGAGAGGGACAAAGACTGTGAAGCACTTACCCCTGGAGGGAGAAACATTCCTTCAATGTACGCTGGTTTTTTTGTGTCTGGAACAATTCTCTCAAGCGAAGTCGGCACGGGTGGATAGAGTCTGAAGGTCTCGTTGAGCACAGCGAGGAGGTAAGGCAGACGTGCCGTAGCATCCGTAAAGTTGATTTCGCCGGGTGACTTAAACGCAGCTCTGACTTCTTCAACTGCTCTTCTGTGTGCATGAGGCGTCGATAAGAGGTAGAAAGTGCAAGCCGTCATCAAAGTGGCCGTGGTATCACTACCGGCGACGAAGAGGGTATTCGAGTTTGTGACAATCTCTTCGATGGAATTAATACTCTTCTCGTCTCTCCCACGGAGCAAACCTTGCATAAAGTCTTTGCGGATGATTTCAGAGTCATTCCCCAATCGCTTGTTTACGGCTTTTCTGGTGTAGTCAAACTGGTCCATAAAACCCTTCTGAACATCCCGCGCTAAAATCGGCAAGACGATCCACGATAGCGGGCCAAGTAGTGTGTTTAGTTCGAAGAGCTTTCTAGCTCGCTCGATAAACATGAGGACAGAGCTTACCACATGATGGAACTCGTTATTGTCGAGACCACCCAAAGACTCTCCGAACGTCAAGTCGCCGATAATGTCGAAGGAAGCGATATGGAACCATCTCCCCATCTCTGTCGGCATTCGGGACTCAGCCACATCTGATAACCTTCGTACGAGCTTATCGACATAGTCGTGAATGATCGGCTCTTGGTCAGCCAGAGACCGTGGCGAAAAAGCGTGGGCTACTCCTCGGCGAATCCGAGCATGGTTGACATCATCGGCGTCGAGGATGTTGGAGTCAGGGTCGAGTTGCTTGGAGGCACTGTACTTTGGAAACTGCCCGTGCCCATGGCCGTAGATAGTCTTCCAGGCCTGGCTTGTCGTAAATGTCACCGCATCTGGCGAATAACGTACAACATTGCCGTATTTCCTGTGAAACTCGCGGATATCTTGGTCGATGGTGCCGAACAGTATCTTGAATTTGGGAATGAATGGGAATATGGTCCATAACTTGGGGCCTGGAATGTGACTCAACCGCGAGAAATACGCTTGATAAATGCCTCGAGCTAGATAAAAGAGCAGGCAAGAACTGAGTGCCACTAAAGCAATGTGAGCCAGCGGCTGAGTTCTCAACAATAAAAAGGAGCTCAAAGCCATTGTAATAATATGGACTGAGCTGCCGGTCTTGGTTAAGTCCACGACTCAATCGACGCCAGGTCCAACGCTGGAACTGAACGTCTTTATGTCCGCAAGGTGCTACCGCAGAAGCCCCCTCTTGACTGACGCCCATAAAGCCGCCATCACATCTGTAACATCATGACTCCACTCCATTACTCAGTTTCTTGGCATATAGCTGTCGCTTGGTAAGATAGCGACGTTATCGCATGATTTGTTCCGTTGCACAACGTCACGTTTGAATCCGCCTCTCCCCCGTAACGGATGTGCCCATCCTTGCTCGACGGCTGCCGGACCAGGGCTGGAAGACACTACGGAACGGTCCGTAGCCTGCAAGTGGCTGATGGATGCTCGCATGGAGGAGACCGCACACCGCATCGGGGTTTCCTCTTGGCCGCGAACCCGATGTGGCACCGCCGAGAAATACAATATGCACGCTGCCGCGCCGTGAAACCGGGAACAACGCCGGGTCGGCGCCGAACTTCCGCAACAGGAAAAAACAGATGGTATATTTCTATGTTCGACTCACGAGCAAGCAAAACCCCGCACAGTTTCCCCTAATAAACACTTTCCATCCCTTCTTACTGGACGGTGAAATCCTGGAGGCCCGTGTTGAGCGAGTCATTGATGCGTCGAGTGTACTCGACGACGCCGCCAAGGAAGTTGAGCATCTCTGCTATGAAGTCAGCGATTTTCCTTGAGTATCGAGCAAAGAGGGGCGGTAGGATGACTTCTTACCTTTAGGCTTCCCTGGAATATTGGTCCCCATGTACTCAGACTTTGTCTGGGGCAGCAGAGTCTCGTCTCCAATACGGTTGACAAGTTCTCGCCACTCTTGCTCAACATCCGGACGAGGGTTAATGTAGCGTTTGCCGTTCTTTCGCAAGTGAACAAGTGTGTCGCGGATCCAACCGCCCTGGAGCTCAGCACACGTAGGTCCGTTGCAGAACGATGTCGGACCTTGAGGCCCGTAGACGAACAGTGCATTGGGGAACCCAGCAGTCATTATTCCAAGGTGCGTCGTTGTGCCCTTCGCCCACTTCTCTTTCAATGACTGCCCATTCTCGCCTTTAATATCGATCGCCAAGATACCTCCCGTCACTGAGTCAAAGCCAGTAGCAAGAATGAGAACGTCAAACTTGTGCAGCTCGCCATCGGCGGTGAAGACACCGTCGGGGACAACCTCCGCGATGGCATTGGCCTTGGTGTCAATCAGAGCCACGTTGTCACGGTTGTAGACCTCGTAGTATCTCTGCTCGAGAGTAGCTCGCTTGGTTCCGAAGTAGTATGGCGGCTTCTCCGGGGCAAGAAGCTCCTGCATCGCGGGCTTATGGACGCGCTCCAGGACCTTGCTGCGCCAGAATTCGTATGCGTGTTGGTTGGCTTCTCTGTTCCGGATGACATCTTGATATGTCCCCAACCAGAAAGATAGTCCGCCCTTTGCCCAAATCTCCTCAAAAAATGCCTGGCGCTCCTTTGCGGTTGTCTCGGCACAAGCCTGAGGATTGAATTCGAAGTCCAGGCCAGCAAAAGTGTTCTTACGAAGCTCGTAAAGCTCCTTGTATGTCTCCTTTTTCTGGTCCTCAATAGAAAGGGGAACTTGTCGCATGGGGAGGGCGTAGGTTGGGCTGCGTTGGAATACTGTCAGGTGTTCAACTTCGGGGGCAATCTCCTGTATGACTTGAAGACCGCTTGAGCCGTTACCGACAACACCAACTCGCTTTCCCTTGAAGTCAATACCCTCTTGAGGCCACTTCGAGGTGTGACATGAGACGCCAGTAAAGGAATCAAGGCCCTTGAAGTCTGGGATGTTTGGTTTCGCAGCGAAGCCAGTACAGAGAATGAAGTATCGGGCGGTCAAGATGGACTTGTCGCCAGTGGTGATGGTCCAGTGGGAACCGATTTTGTCGAAGTCAGCACTGACAACGCGGGTGTTGAACATAACGTCCTTCTTGAGGTGTAGCTTGGACTCGACATGCTGGAAGTAGTTTCGGATCTCTTCTCTTCCGGGATACTTCTCGGACCAGGTCCATGGCCTCCAGATCTCTTCTTCAGAGAACTCATAGAGAGGCACGGGTGTATCGACACGTGCTCCAGCGTAGCAGTTCCAGTACCAGACACCGCCAAGATCGGCTGCGTCGTCGATCACAAGGGTCTTGAATCCAGCCTTTCGGAGTTGGTCAAGGGTGTAACATCCGGCGAAGCCACCACCAACGATGATAGCATCGTATTCGGGAGAGGACAGAGAGCCCATCTTGCTGGGAAGAAATTATAAACAAACTTAAGCCGGAACTCGATAGGGTAGGAAGTCTAGCTAATGAGACCAATAATCATGCAATTGACTGAAAATAGAGATATGAGGAGGAACCGCATGCACCTTTATGATGCAGTTGAAGCATGGCGCCGAATGTGAGAGCTCATCGCCCCACGAGCTCACGTAGGTGCGGGCAAATTTCCGCAGGTTTTTCTGGGTTGGCGGGCCTATTTGGTTCATTTACCTCTGCTCTCTCGACCATCATTGTGTAATTGGCTCTGGCATTTTCCAAGTTCGCAAGGGGTTGCGAAACTTGCGAATGATTGTTCGGACGGACTAATTCATGGCTAGAATTTGTCCGCGACTGCGCGGGCCGCATAGCCAACTGCGGCGATTTTCAGGCTCATAGCGAAGTCTAAATATGGAGATACTGCTCTCTGCCGTAACTTCCTTTCCCACTGATTGCTGAACCGTCCACAGGATAGACACAATATCTTGATTACTCTATAAGCACACTCAACATGAACGATAAGGGCTTTGTCGAAGATGCTGTCAGTATCAACAATTTTCATGCGAGCAGATGAATCTGACTGGTAAAAGAGCAATTATGCCGACGTTCGGAAGCAGATTGACTTTCTCCACATGCCAGCCAGCAAAGTTAGTGATACCATATCATTGCAATTCTATAGACAAGGCCTAGGCTGACCTTTACACTAAAGTATCACAAAGAAGAATTAGCGATAGAAGAGCAAGAAGTTATGGACCAGCTTTACCGTGGCTGGTTGCACTACTGGAACAAGGAGTCGCGCGAAGACTACCACAATGGAATGGTGGGCGCTCGGCGATTCTATGATTTTGATGACATGCTCAGCTACGACATGTTCGGCAACACCATCCGTGGCAGCTTCAAAGAGCACTTTGACTCCATCTTTCCGTATTGGAATGACGGCAACATGGAGTTCAAGGACATTGAAATCACGGCTCTGTCCAAAGAGTATGCCTACTCCACCATGATACAGCATACCTGGGGAACAGCTGGCGGTGTGTCATTTGACACAGCTTTTAGAAGGACGGGAATCGCGCGGAAGAACACAGAGGGGCAGTGGAAGTGGATTCACGAGCATTTGAGCTTCCCCACTGATATGGCCACCAAGGCCGCCGACTTCACCAGCTCGCTGGATCCCTTGAAGGCAACCAAGATGAAGTAAGATTGCATTGGACCACAGCTTCTTTAGACTGGTAGCGTTTGTTTGGGGTCAAGGTGCTATGATAGGACAGGCCATCATGAAAGCTATCTTGTTGGGATACTGGCGGGAAGCGGTGGAGGTTGGCAGGGGGTAGAGAGAGAGAG